AGACATAAAAATCATTAACAAAATATTACTAATTCAAGTCTAGCTATATACAAAAAGAATATTTTCATGACTAATATATAAAAAGAATACCATCATGGTATTAGGACAAGTGGGACTTAACCTAAATAAAGCAAGGTTGGCTTAACATTTGAAAAAAATCAACGAATGTCATTCAACATAATAATGGGAAAATAAGGGAAAACTTGAATATATTTGCAGAAAAAACATTTGATAAATTCCAACACTGTTCATGGAAAAAAAAACTCAGCAAGGCAAGAAAAAGAAATTAAAGCATTCAGATTGGAAACAAAGATTGGAAAACAAATTGTCTTTATAGATTGATGACATGATCACGTATACGGACAACCCTAAGGGATCTATAAAAACTATAAGTGAACTTAGCAAGGTTCCAGGAAATAAGGTCAATATACAAAAATCAAATGTTTATCTATATTCCAGCAGTGAACGATCAAAAACTAAAATTTTTTAAAATACAATTTTTAGCTGTATAAAAAATATGGATACTTAGAGATAAATTTAACAAAATATGTGTAAAACTCATATAATAAAAATGATTTAACATTGCTGAGAGGAATTCAAGAAGAGCTAAATAAATGGAATGAAATACCACGAGATATGCCATGTTCACTGATTAGAAGACTCAATATTGTTAAGATGGCAACTCTTCCCAAAGTGATATACAGATACAAGGAAACCTCAATCCAAACTTGGGCAGACGTGTTTCTACAAAGTGACAACTAATTCTAAAATTCAAATGAAAATGCAAAGGACATGGAACAGACAAAACAATTTTGAAAAAGAAAAAGGTTGAAAAACTTATGACACCAGATTTTAAAATACACTATAAAGTTGTAGTGATCACGACTGTGTGGTATTGGTATAAGAACAGACCTAAAGATCAATGGAACAGAATACAGAGTCCAGGAAACAGACCTACAAATCTATGGTCAATTAATTTTGGACAAAGGTGACGAGCTAATTCAACAGATAAAAGACAGTCTTTTCAATAAATGATGATGGAACAACTGCATATCCATATGTGAGAGAGAGATGGGAAGAGGACATTGAGCCTTATTTCACGCCATACATAAAAATTAACTCAAAATGGATCATAGGCTGAAAACTATAAAAACTCTAGAAAAAAACATAAGAGAGTACCTTCACAACCTTGAGGTAGGAAAGATTTCTTAGCTGTGACACAAAAAGCACAAATAATAAAATAAAATATTGATAAATATGATCATCAAAATTAAAAACTTCAGCTCTTCAAAAGGCATTGTTAAGAAAATAAAAAGGCAAGCCATTGTTGGGGGGAAATATTTGGAATACATGTATCTGGCAAAAAACATACTCAGAATATATAAATAACTCTTACAACTCAGTAAACAAAAAGTGGGCAAAAGATCTGGATATTTTATAACGAATATATATCAATGAACAATAAGCACAAGAAAAGATGCTCAAAATTATTAATCTATGTGAAATGCAAATTAACACTGCAATGAGGTATATCTATACATCCATTAAGAATAGCCAAAATTTAAAAGACCATTTAAAATACTAAGTGTTAACAATGATGAAGAGAAATTGGAACAGACATATATTGCCAAAGGAAAAATAAAGTGGTCAAGCACTCTGGAAAACAGTTTGGCAGTTTCTTATAAAGTAAACACTTACCATATGACATAGCAATTCCACTTCTAGGTATCTACCCAAGAGAACCAAAAACTTATCCTATGTCCACACCAACACAGATACATGGCAGCTTTAATCTTACTCACCAAAAACTGGAAACAACTCAAATTTCCAGATTTGACAGATAAGTGGATAAACAAATTGTGGTACATCCTTATAAAGGAATATCATTTAGCAATAAAAAGGGATGAACTACTGACACATGCAACACGGACGAATCTCAAAAACACTAATATGAAAGGAGACTTACGCAAAAAAGTATATAGTGCACAACCCCAGTTATCTGAAACTCTAGAAAATCTAATCTATAATGACAGAAAGTAGATCAGTGCTTGCCTGAGGTTGAGCCTGGGGACGACTGGCTGGGATGGGCACGATGGAACTTTTAAGAGGGATGGAAATATTGTATATCTTAATTTTGGTGGTGGTTATTCAAGTATATAAATTTGCCCAAACTCATCAAAATGTACAACTAAAATGAGCACATTTTATTGTGTGTTAACTATACCTCAAGAAAGCTGATTTAGAAAAAACCCTTAACATGGACTACAAAGTCTCACATGATCAGTAGCCTAGCTTCCTCTCATCATCAACTATTGTTCTCTCCTTTTCTGTGCTCCTTAGTCTTTCTAGCTTTGTGGGCATTTGCACAGGATGTTCCCTACTTTAACCTAACTCATTTCTACTCCTCTGTCAGGCCTCAGGTCAAAGGGCTTTCTCCACAAAATTTTCCCAGACCTCCTAGATTCAGTCCCCTTGTTAAATGCTCTCCTTGCTCTCTGTGAGTAGAAAACGAATGAAGCAAAAAATGCCATTTGGCCCTGAATGGACACTAATTGGGATAAGTCATACTTTCATATATCCCCACAGCCCACAGATAAACTCCTGCTATATTTGAGAGCAGCAAAGCTGGCAGGAAAAAATAATTTTGGGACAGGGAATCCCATCTAGTTTGGTGTTGTCCCCAACGAGTCTGATCTAATCCTGTTTGGGCACATGACTAGTTCTGGATTTATTCAATAAGTATAATAATCCCAGAATGAAATAGTGCTGGATGTCTAAGTCCAAATCACTCAAAACTGAAACTAACCCATTCTCCCCTGCATCCTTTATATTAGGAAGGGCCTGGATCCAGATTTTCCTAGGCAACCCTAAACTGTGTCAGATACTTACCTAATTCCTTCTTTTTACCAACACTGTCTAGTCTAGACTAACATCTCCAGATTACTATCAATAGCCACAAAGCAACCCAGTCTCTGGAGTACGGAAAGAAGCTAGTCTGCCCTTACAGCAGCATAGTCTGATTTAAGGTAAGGAGTTGTAGTCTCAGCTCTTGCAATAATTATCCATATAAATTTTGATAATTCATTTAACTTCTCTAGATTTCAATATTTTCATATTTTATTACTTCTGCTCAGGACAGGTATGTCTACATATGAAGACCACTCAACAACACATTTTCCATAGCTTTCCATACTTCTTGAACATGGATTATACCACTAAAGTTAGAAATCATCTTCATCATATTTGATATTCATTTAAATCAGTCTCACATTTTATAGCGCTAAATATTACCAGTGAATCTAATTTAATCTTTTAAATTCCCATGAAATGGCCTCATGTAGTATTTTTAACTTTTTACTACTAAGAAAATTCTCATCTCATAGTATTTACCACTCAGTCACTCAGCATCAGCAGTTTTAAAAATATGAAAATAATCCTTAATAATAAAAATCCACTCAAATATATATTCTTGAAACTTATATAAATCTATATCTAGCACTCTTGTTTATCTTGCCATATGTATTTTATATACATATATATATGGGAAAAAGGTAACTTTTTTGGGAAAAAGCTAACTTTTTATCAGGTCTCAAGGAGGAAGAATTCACTTCACGATGATCTATTAACTGTCACCAGAAAAACGACAACCACTTTCTATACAGCTCCTTTATCCATTCTTTTTTTTTCCCCCCCAAAGCCCCAGTAGATGATAGTTGTATGTCATAGCTGCATATCCTTCTAGTTGCTGTATGTGGGACGCGGCCTGAGCATGGCCGGAGAAGCGGTGCATCGGTGCGCGCCCGGGATCCGAACCCAGGCCACCAGCAGCAGAGCGCGCGCACTTAACCGCTAAGCCACGGGGCCAGCCCATCCTTTATCCATTCTTATGCAACTCTGAATAATCCTTTGGCTCAAAATGACAAATAAATTGATAGTCATAACAATTAAGTTGCCAAAAAAAATAAGGAAAGAAAAGAAGGAAGGAAGGGAAGGGTGAAAATATAATAAAATAAGAAAAGATGCTCAGGAGACTAAAATTTTGAATATTGCCCATATAATCTTCATTAGATTAGGCAACAGAAAACAAAATAAACAGTCTATACAGTAATAAAAATTGTGTCAAACCACAGCTCCAATAATTTTATGAAAAATGAAAACCACAATAATTTCAAGTATTCTAGTATATGAAGCCTGAGTTTTTTTTTTTTAAATGACAGGTTTTTTAATATGAAAATGGATAAGTGGCTTCTGTATTTGTTCACATTTGTGCCAATGCTTGCTTTTACCACATTACATTTTGCATATTACAATATATAAAGTAGCAAGTATGTTTAAGCTTGGGAGAGTGGGAGTACTAAACAGTATATATAAAGGATTTCCATTATTCAAATAGAGCATTCTACCCTAATTTCACAAAACAGACACTATTGGAATTCAAAATTTTTTTCACTGTTACTTTCTTCCTTCACTACAAAACAAAATTATGCATTTATTAAATTATCTAACACTGCCTAATTTAGGGATATGATAGAAATCCTAATTTTGTTCATTTAATATTAAAATAATTTTATAACCTTACTGATAAGTCAAACAATATATTCATATATTATAGGTAGAAATAACTATGACAATTAGTCAGGTATTACTTGAAAGTTTTTCATTATAACTTTATAAAGATATGATATTTCTATGCCCTGTCTTTTTGGTTTTAAATAATTGTATGCGAAAGGAAGAAAAGTTGTTTTAGATATAGAATCAATATTTACAGGCACACATTACAGGTCTCTAAAAAAAAAAGTGTGTAATTATCACACTAGCTGTTTTTTTTTTTAACTTGCATTACCTAGATGTGGATTTTTCAAATACTCTATTGGTTGACTCAAAACATGATTTGACTATTTGAGGAATTTTATTGCTACTTAAGGAATTATCTTGGCATTAGAAAAGAATGGTAGAAAAATATACATGTAATTAATGTGAAAAGAACAAAAAGGTCCTACCTGTTTCAACTTCATAAAGAAAGTCTCCGTGAAAGTCTTTCTGCTGAAATACCAAAACCGCTCATTTGCAGGGTACACACGTACTACTGTCTCCAGGAGAAAGCGGACAGGCTCCACCACCTCCGTGACTACCATATCCACTGCCACCGTCATGTACACTCGTTTATCTGTAGTAGAAATGTTCTGCGTTTTATGCTGGCTTTATTATTCCTCGATTATTTAAGAAAACAAAGTTTTCCCACTTATGAAAGAACTAAGGTTCTTCACGATCATGTTACTTTCTACGTTTAATTTTAAACGTATTCTTGTCACTTTGATTAAATAGGTAACCAAGTATTCCGAGTATATTTTTCAACACACATGATCCTATCTTAATCGAGTGTCCAATCCCCTCTGACAATTTTAACTTTCCTTCCCAAAATCAGGTCCTTAGTATAAAAAATAAATAAAGTTTTCAAGATGTCTTTTACACTAAAACTACCTTTTGGATTTCCCAGGAAACCCCTGGAAAATCACTAAGATTTTCCCTTTCATCTTATAAAAGATATTGGAAATTATTTTTGTTTGAAGAGTTGCTTAGGAAAGATTGTAAAATCAGAAGAGATGTTCAACCTTCACTATGTTAAATTGTATAGGAAAATGTTATTAAAATGAATATTTCAATGTTACATGCTGTAAGGAAAGTCCCTGGAGATTTGTCAGTACTCTCATTGTCCGTAATACATATTTACCCTTAGGAAAATCACTGATCAAAGCTCTAATGAAATAGTTCTGTGCTGAGATATACATATATATCTCAGAGTCCTGGCAAGTGCCTTTAGACAACAAGAGTATAGCGTTACCACTCAAACTTTCAGTTATTATTTTAAATGTTTACTTGGCCACTGCTTTCCTTTAATGTGAATCTAGAATCTTCTAGGCCCATGTCTACTGGTTTTCTTCAGTTTCACACTGATAGGTTGAAATATGGATTTCATTTTATTTACCCTGCTTGAGATTCACTGGGGTTTTTGAATCTGTGGCTTGGTTTTTCCATACCATTTTGTCATCTCTTCGTTACTTTAAAGTATTTTTAAAACTTATTTTGCCCACCATTTTTAGTTCCCAGTTAAAGGAAAGATCAAATAACCAAGCCCACCATTAGAAGAAACCGTCATTAGTGTTTTTTTTAAAACATTACACAATATCCATACTCATCAACTACACTTCTATTAATATCATCAAATTCAACAGAAATTGTGTTACATTCTTACCAAATACAAGCATTCAACCTGCCAATTCAAGAGAAATTAGGATTCTATAGACACTGTACTTGAACCAGAAGACCTTAAAGTGTAAGGGAAGTAATATAGAGGAATAAGAGAGAATAATACAAAACACAAAATATAATACATAAATTGGTGTAGTGAAAAGATCTAAGACATTTCATTTCTCAGGGCCTTATCTTCTATAAAAATCCAACCGTGATTCATGAATCCTCAGTAATTTATAATCTCAAGGACACCATTCGGAAATTTCAGAAATCAGTTCAACACTTTTGCATGGCATTTTGATTTTACATTATCTTTGGATCAGAAAATTATTGTAATATTACATAAAGTCTATTTTAATAGGACAAATTTTAAGATATATTATCTTTTATTTGAGGGCCAAATGTGTATTAAAATACAAAATGAAACTGAACTATGTGTTACATTAAAAACATAAAAACTGCTTTTATAAATTCATTTTTGAAATTCCAACATTTTATTCTTCAAAATTATCAACTGGCTTATTTTTCTCATTTTTTTGTTTTCTTTCTGAATAATTATAAGAAAGAAGTTTACAAGCTGGTGGGGCCGGCCCCGTGGCTTAGCGGTTAAGTGCACGTGCTCCGCTGCTGGCGGCCTGGGTTCGGATCCCTGGCTCGCACCGATGTACCACTTGTCCGGCCATGCTGAGGCGGTGTCCCACCATACAGCAACTAGCAGGATGTGCAACTATGACACACAACTATCTACTGGGGCTTTGGGGAGAAAAAGGGAAAAAAAAAAAGGAGGAGGATTGGTAATAGATGTTAGCTCAGAGCCGGTCTTCCTCAGCAAAAAGAGGAGGATTGGCATGGACGTTAGCTCAGGGCTGATCTTCCTCACAAAAAAAAAAAAAGTTTACAAGCTGGTATTTACAAGCCTGTCTCCAGAAATAACAAACTGTGAGTGTAAAAATCATTTATTCCTAATATATGAAATGCTAAATTTTATATAATCATCATTATCTTTCTCTCTTTTTAGCCCTCATTTGGAAATAGATAGCTTGATGTATGATCAAATGCATGCAATTTACGGAACTGGTAAATAATCTCTTTAAGGAAATTTGAGAATAATTATCATTTTCATTTCCTTCATTAATATATCATCATATTTCCATATCAGTATTCACTAATGCTGTTTTTAACCAAAAGTCTACTGTGGGTATAAACTAAAGAATGTAAGACTAAAGATCAAACTGATCCATTATTTCCTCAATATAAATTATCAGTTGAATGACAGTAAAGCATTTAGTGTAAGATTACAATTCATGAGGTAAAATTTTAAATTTTAGTTTAAAGGCAGATGGTGAAGGGGCAAAAAAACATAGGCAATTAACAGATATCTGGATAATGTAGGAATAAAAATAAACAAAATGGGGAAAATGACAAATGTGACCATTTATAAATTCTGTCCAACACTAGACACGTTAAACAAAATGAAAAGGTAAACAACTAGGAAAAAAGTGTTTGCCACAAATGAAATCCTTAATATGTATTATTAAGATCCAAAGGTCAAAAGACTGGCACAAATGATTAATAATGGAAAAAATATAAATAATCTATAATATAATTTAAAAAATTAAAATATTTATCAAAGATAGGCAAAACTCCAGAATTTGCTTTCATCATTTCTTTCATATTTTTCCATCATTTCTCCCCAAATAAAACAACTCTATAATGACATATGAAACACAAAGCCCAAATACTTTCTACATAATCTAACAAAATTAATTCACTTATCCTTGGAGGGGGATTCTTTTGAATAGTGGAGGTTTTCCCCCTAGATGCATAAAGTCTGAAAAGGAACTTTAAATTTGAAATAAGAAGAATAATTCCATTTTAAATGAGCAGCAGAATTTTTTTTTAAATACAGCAAAACAACATCGTCCATAATGTCAAATTTAAAGCAAATAATAAGGAATCTTTTAAGAAAATTCACCTTTTGGGGTTTCTTCATTAAGTGCCAGAAAGATTGGTGCATTGGGGTTCCACAAGCCAGTGATAACATAAGCTCTCCCATCATAGCTCTTTCCCATGGATTCCTGTAAAAGTTCAAACAGGAATCACTGAGAATATATACATCAAGAGAATCATCATTTTAAACTATAAGTATATCTTACTGTAAGCAATTCAATTTATTAAAATTTGGATTTACAATCAAACAGGGGATTTATTTTCTTTCTAAGTTTTTTTTCACCTCCCAGAGCATTTCTTTAAATATTAAATTCTCCTATAGCTTTCTTCAAACAGAGTGTCTATCTAGAGACATGCACCTCTTGGATAAAAGAGGGATTCTGCTGAATCATAAAAACATAATATTGCTATAAAGTCAGATTTAACTCCATCTTAGGCTGGTTGTCAAAATCTCCTAAACTTAACATACAAGGACGTATACAGTTTCTATTAAAACTACAGATCTCACTGAACAGAGTTAAATTGAATTAACAGCTAATCACAAGAAGTTGGTATTTTTCTTTTAAGGTTCTAATTTTTAATATATTCTTAAAATATTAATTTACTTTGTCACAATTAATGCCTTTAAAGTTAATAGTCTTCTATCATCTATCTGTCAGATATTTGTACATTTTCTTACAATCATAAATCAACATTAGGAGACTAATATTGGTTTGTAATCAACACTCAAATTTACTATCTCCCTCTACCCTTATACTTACTCCCTCCTTCTTCCCTTCTCTCCCTCTCCCCTTCCTCTTCATTGCCTCCACTCTTTAAGACTTCTACCAAGCCAGCACTTGACTCGCATTAAACAAGCCAGCAACTCCTACAGTGAAAGCAAGGCCCCATATAGTTGTGTACGTGTATATGTGTGGTGCGGGGAGGTTAGAGGTTGTCCCAGGGAAGAACAGCACACAGCATGTAAATATGTGCATATGCAAAAGAATGTTATCTATAGTACTTTCAATTTTCTGTACCAATTTCCTCATATAATAACTATAGAGTGCTAAAAAGGTAAGACTAAAACAAAAAGGAAAACTTTTTTTCTCTACTACCTCCACTTCTCTGAATCACAATAAATTTATTTCAGTCGCATTTGGTAATTACTATGTATATTTTTCTAGTGTACTGGTGATGTTTCACTAATCAGATTGTATAGCTTAAGTGCAGGGACTCTGTATTCCAGAGATGAAGTACACTCAAGGCCATGTAAAGAAAACCCACTCAGCACCTCCAACACACTAATATATTCATATTCATTCATTCCTTCTCACTCTCTCTCTCCCCCTCCCCCTCCCTCCCACATGTCTATCCTCTCTCTCTACCCTCTAATTAAACCCCCATTCAGAACAAGAATGGGCATCTGACCAAAAAAACAATCCATTTCTAGACAAGAGCATGTACTAAGCTCAAGTCCAAAAAGATGAGCTAGGCCAATCAAATCCTTTCTTTCAATTAACAAATATCAAGGAAAGTGGGCAGTCAGCAGTGGAGCGAAAAGGTTTTGATAAGAAGTCAGGGGATGACAGGCCACATATAAAATGAAATTCTAACAGAAATTATAAAGTAAGGAAAAATATATATAAAGAACAGCAGGGTATTAGGAAACTGCTAAGAGGTAAGAGAGATACAGAGAAAACAAGCACACACAAAAATCCTTAAATATAATTAATCATGCAGTCAAATAACAAAGACTGATGATACTGGGAGGCAGGGAGGGAGGGAAAAGCAGAGAGAATGGGGAGCAAAGGAGAGAGAAGGAGCAGAAAGGAGAGAAAAGGTGAGAAGGAAAGAAAGAGGCAGAGAGAGAGAGAGAGACAGGGAGGGAGACAGGCAGAGGGAGAGAATGGGAGACAGAAGAGGGTACAGAAAGAGAAGAGGCGGGCAGAGCACGAGAGGCCCAAGAGAGCAGAAGCCTAAGCAAGAAAGGGGCTCACAGAAAGAGCAAGCCCATGGGGGGAGGTGAGGCAGACAGGAAGAGACCAGACAGCAGAGATCATTTTGCAAGTTTAGGGACAAGTGCATGAAGACCAATAACCTCTTTTGTCTTAAAGGTGTTCTAAGTAAATCTTCGTTTCTTGTTACCAAAATAGCCTAACTAAAACAACCATATTTTTATTTCTTTGCAGTCCTCACAATACAGACCACAGTAATACTGTCTTATACATCAAAAGCCCTCAATAAAACTTTATCATCAAGTCTGACACTGTTGTTATTCAACTAGACATTTCCATCACAGGGCCTGGCTTGCTCCCAGCCCTTTACAAAGATACTTCACATTCTTTGCTGAAGAGTTCTTCCTGACTCCTCTGTGCACCCCCCACCCCACCCCACAGAAACAGGGCTGACAAGATCAGGGACAGTAGGTAGGGGACATCTGGACAACAAAAACCTCTGCCCAAACCAGGCCAGGCTGGAACCACTAGATGGCCTCTTCTTAGGAAAATAAACTGGGAAATACAGAGAGAATATGGCAGTTTGCAATGGGAACATAGGCTGAAAGACCAAAAGATAGAAGCCAGAGAATCACGTAGTAAACCATGAATGAACTATTGTCAAGTTATGAGCAAGGTGAAACTATGAAGTCAAGTAGACAGACAGTATAGGGTAAAACAGATACATGGTACTAGAAAGAAGAGATAACACACAGAAAAAGTAAAAAATGTAAATTCATGCTAATTCATCTATTCATTAAGCAAATATGAGCGTACTATGAGCCATGCTCTATGCCTGGGAGTATCCAGCAAGGAAAACAAAACAAAATGGCCCTCACCTTATGGAGCTGACAGGCTATTATTTTCCAAACAGCAGTTTGTGACTCATTTGTAGATCATAAAATCAATTTAATGGACTATGACCAGACTTTTTAATCAAGTGGAAGAAAAAATAGCAGACTTCATCACACATGTAAGGGTTAAGAATTGTGTCACGAAAATTTTACTTCAGCCTTTTTACACATACAAATTACAAGGGTATTGGATTACAATGTAAAATGTATTTCTAACTGTGAGTCCAGTACTGATCTAGTGTCAATAAATGGTTAACTGTAAAGACCCACAAAATTTCTGAGGCATCTCTAGGACTTTAATTTTAAATTGTGTTCCAGCTCCATGAAACCTGGCTCTACGGAGTTTTCAGCTCTTCCTGGTACCTTGCTGTTAGGCTTTTCCTAGGTATCAACGGCCGTGGATTAATATTCTCAATTCCTTATTCCTACACTACAAGTATGTTCACCAAAAATATCTCACTACTGGAAGAAAACTGAGTCTCTGTTATTTGTACCCCAAAAAAACCTAACTAATTTTATTTATATACTACATATAATATATATAAGTAACCTGGCTATTTGTCTAGAAGATATTTTCTCTTTTATATGTATGACTTTCTCTTTCATGTAGATCTTATATTAAAAAAAATTTATAAATTTATAGAAAAGTCTCAATTCACCTTGCTTCTTAGAAAATATTCAAAGGGAAGAAAAGTCAGCATTGCTTAAAAATTATTCAAGACAAACAGAAAATTCCCACAAATTCTGAAATTAAATATAATTGTATGCTTTTTCAAAGTTTGTCAGAATAAAGTGTAAGAAGGTAAAATTTGTTTTCAAATCATTCACATATTTGGACATGTCATAGAAGAAGCAGAAGTATTAACATTTTGCTCTAGAGAGCAGAAGTGAGACTAATTAGGCACAGTTACAATGAACATGATTTCAAGTGATTACAAACAAATAACTGTAATAACCAGAACTGTCCCACAGTCTTCATTATAAAGTAATGAGTTCCTTTTTATTAGATATAGTCTAGTCAAAGGTCAATAACCATGTATTAAGATAGCATGAAGATTAACATCACTGGGTAATATAGGGGAGGAAGACTAACCTCTACCCACTCTGGGTCCTTTCTGGCTGGGGTATGAATTAAATTGACATGAGACAGAATAACAGGAGAAAATCAAACAAAGCTTTATAACACGTATACATGGGAGAGACCTGGAAAAACTGGGTAACTCAATAAAATGGTGGAGGTTCTCATCTTAAATAACATATTCAGGCAAAGACAGAGGAGGATGTCGGGGGTGGGGGGCGTCAACTATGGGAGATTACCAGAAAAGCACAGTAAACAAGAGTATGCAGATTTAAATTCTTGCCTTCCACATTGATAAGAGTTTCTAGAGATAAGGTCATCCCCCCTTCTTCCTAGTACAGAGAGGGAGACACCTTTACAAATGGAAATTTGCCTTATAAATGTAAATGTCTCTTACAAAGGGTAACTTCTACTTTTACTTGGTTTTCAGAACTTTGATAAGAATGGGCTTAGCAACAACGCTCCCGGTCTATCCATACCCAGAGTTATCTATGGTGATGGACTGTCTTGGGGACAGGCCTTCTACCTTAAATTCTTTTAGGCAGTTGGGGCGGGGCCGGGGCCATCAAAGTTTCTTTCAGAGAAAATAATCAAGGTAAAGAGACATATTTTGAGGTGGCCATTCTGATCCCCCACAGTAACAACAAATCACAACTGCTGATAATTGCAAACACAAACCCTCCCACCTGACCAACTATTTGTTGTACAGCCCACTTCTCTTTCCAGGAGCTTCAGTGTTAACAAGCCCTTTGATTTCAATATGGACTCTTAAAGATGGAGGACTGCATTGCAAATGAGACACACAAGACAAAGGGGCCTCAGAAGTTCATGCCAGGTCTGTAATTCTATAATCTGAACCTAGGTTTTATGGAAAAATCCCTGCCAGTGATTCATCTTAATCTTTTAAACTCTGAAAGACCATGACTAATTAGGACCTAGGAGCTTATAAATATTTCATGTTCCTGAACTACCTCTTCACAAAATTTTCAGGGCTCCAAAATGCTATGGCTTGTTTTAGGTAAAAAATGCACTACTGATATGTTGTAAAGAGAGATGGGAGAGAAACAGATCATAGCTAATTTGTTGTCACATTCAGTGTAACTACCTATCCATGCAGTGCTTCCTCTATATTTCTATGGCTCATTGTACCAACCCTATGAGAGCACTTAACCCATTGCTGTAGTTACATACTAAAAGATCTGTTTCCATCACAAGACTATGAACTCACAGGTGGTAAGAGCTATGTTTTACCATATCTATAACCCCAGTACTTCACACAATGGTTGGCACACAATTAGGTGCATAAAAAAGGCTAAATGTATCATTCTAGTGAAACCATTCTAGTGGAAAATCAATGTGATGTAACCACGAAATAACTCAAAGGAAAAGTTGATATAATTGGTGATATTTAACTGACATTTGCAAATCACAGCTGAAAGGAAGAAAACATGTAGTGCTTATTATCACTAAACATTAAAATCTCAGTTAATTAAGTAAAGAAATTCATACTTACTCTAAGATGACTATTTCCTATAACATTTCTAAATCACAAAGTAAATGTTTTCATTAACTGCAATATTCGAAGGTATTTCTGTTTAAAAGTTAAAATGGCTTGGGGCCAGCCCAGTGGCGCAAGCAGTTAAGTGAGTGCGCTCCGCTGCACTCCGCCGCGGCAGCCCGGGGTTCACCAGTTCAGATCCCGGGCACGCACTGACACACTGCTTGGCAAGCGATGCTGTGGTGGCGTCCCATATAAAATGGAGGAAGATGGGCACGGATGTTAGCCCAGGGCCAGTCTTCCTCAGCAAAAAAAGAGAAGGATTGGCAGATGTTAGCTCAGGGCCGATCTTCCTCACAAAAAAAAAAGAGTTAAGATGGCTTGCTATTTTTATATCAAATACTAACTCTTAAATATACATTAACCTTTAAGGCCATTCCTTAAATAAATACCACTCCTACAGTAAATATACTTTGCTAAGGACAGGTAATCAAGTAGGAGAAATTCGGAAAGGGAAATGCTTTAAAGAAAACAAAAGCATCCATCACAGTACTCAAATTAATAACTGCATTAAAATAAATGAAAGGTACCATATACACTTTGAATACGCCTGTTATAATCATGTACTTCTTATTTTTGGCTCAAAGAAAAGACATCTTCCTAAGAAGCCGAACAGATGAATAGATGGACATCGTCATAACACTATCCTTTTACTTGCTTTCAACTTGCATCTGATATTTTGGTGGAAATTTTCCTAATTCTTTCCCTCATAAATAATTTTAAATTTGGGTTTCCAAATTTAATTATTACTATCATACAGCTGAAAGTTAGCAACAATTTTGACAATATGACAAAATTTTAAAATAGAAAATACTTTAAAAATATAAAATAACTATCATCTATACTTGGTTAAGGTGCTTAAGATTATCATTACCATATCCAGTAAATGCATGTCACTGTTCTTCACGTTTCGACCTGGGCTTAATAACATTCCAAAACATCTGAAAATATTGGGGGAAAAAAAAGGAGAAATAAGGTATCAAGAATATATAGAAGCCCAGTGAGCAAAAAGCCTTTTTATAATAACTAAACAATCTGAGCTTTGTATTTACAAATAGATTTAGTTTTTTAGAGAAACACCACAAATAAGAATTCATTAAGATACATAATAAAATCACATACAAATAAGTTATCTAAATTCCCAGATCTTTATTTTTGCATGTAAAAGATTAACATGATCAGAAAACTGTGATAAAAATGGCCACAAATTGTTGATTGAAACAAAATACAGTAGCGAAATCTGAACTACTTTCTAGAAATGAGATTTTATTTGCCTTAGAGTTATTCCAAACATATAGGTCAAGATCAATAAAGCCAGTTAAATAAAAAAGAAGCTTTTTTAAAACTAAGAATAAGACACTGTGCTCTCTCTTTGCATCAAGCCAGATTAACAGAAACATTACCCTGGCCCTCAACAGTCATGTTCACTGAGAAGCCTGTTAATACTATATCCTTAGTTTTAAAACAAAGTTATATGAAACTCATTACTAAATGTGCTATTATATTAGTGAAGATATTATCCAACATACTATATATTATTAATTATTTACTTTATTCTGTGCTTCCTGATGCTAGAGAAGCTTTAGGAATCCCACCAACACCACCACTTTACCTGTAAAGAATTTTCATAAGCTCTAAATTCAGTTAAATCTAACATTTTTGTATTTGTTAAGATATTATTGTTAATTCTGCTTTATAGGTAAGAAAGGTAAAGTCCATAGAAGTTAAAAAATTTACTCAAATTCATACAGCTATTAAATAGGCCTTGTAACTCGAGAGGCAATGTGATCTGTCCACAGTATCCCTCTGCCAACAACACATACCACACTTACTAAAGAGTTTTTATTGCAGCTTTCCAAAATTTAAAAATACTGCCATGAAGCATTTTACACAAGGAGTAGAGAATGTAAATAAATTATCAGATTTTTTTAATTTCAAAATAGTGGCAGCTGACCAGTCAATACTTAATCTGATCCTTATTGTTTTCCAAACGTTTACTTTTCTAGTAGCATGGCTTTTTCTTCCATGAACAAGATAAGTGATTGATCCCATCCAAAGAAGAGCTTAGTAAGTGGTAAAATAATACATACTTCCTGTGAGTACTTGAGGATACCTTGTGCAAGGCTCCCTTTTGGCATCCAAAAATGATCAAATACGTAACAAAGTTGATAAGCTCACTTTCCAAACATATTATTGTACCACTGAACAAAATATAATCTACTACAATAGAAATAATTATACTCTAATATTCATAATTTTAATATGATTACTATACACTGCTATGATCTCTCTCCTCCGATCTCCTATAATAAACACTGCCTGTACAAATTAAATGTTAATTAATCATGCAATTCATTGTACTATTTCTTCTACTATTGCCTTAAATTCTTGATAGGCAAGAATAAAAGAGTTAATTCTTTTTCAGATATAAAATTTGGTCCCTCCAACTAAAAAGTCAGGTCAATGAGGACAGAAGACTTGTGTCACATTCCCTATATACTTTGCTTCAGCTTACATCTCTCATGGGTTTTTTTAAGAACAATTTTCTATGTCATAGGGCTTTTAAGTAACAAAACTATTACACATTCATTGTAAAAAGTTAATGAATGCCAAAGTGTATTGGGAAAAAATAATGTCTTGCTTCTCTCTCTAATTTCAGCCCCCTTAGGAACCAATGCTAACAGTTTAGTACGCAGCCTCCCTACCTTTTGTTTTGCTGTTTTTGAAAATCTAAAGTTTTATATTATTTTATTTGTCAAGCACTTGCAGGTAAATCACAAAATGGGTACAGTTTTACATTTCTTAATATAATTTTCCTATGTTAAACTCTACTGCAAAAGAAGCCTTGGAAGTTTAGGTTTTCCTTAAACGGCAACACATATTACCTTATTTTGCTGATCTTTAATACACTGCTCTTTTCCTGGGTTATAAATTAAAAATCCTACCACCAACCACCAGTGGGACCTTAGAGAAATCACCTAACCTCCTTGGGCCTCTGCTTCCTCTTCTAGAAAATGGGAGAGGTATAATACATGAATTCTAAGGGTTCTTCCTGCACTAAAACTGCATACTTTTTTCTATCAAGCTGTATTAGTCATTTCCAAAATTATACTTCATTAAAGCACATCAGGTTTCCTATGGAGACAAGCAAGGTCTATTAGAAATAATATGTCAGTAATTAGATAGATATTATTAGTACCACAAACACCTAATGCAAATATTAAGTGTTTCACTGGGGAGTTCAAAGCATTCAAGCTTCTCTTATTAACTCTATAAATAATGTAGAAAGCAAATTGCTATCACACCTATTTTCTCAAGGAGCTCACAGTCTAGTAGGGGAGGAAAATAGTAAACAGGCAATTACAACCTGATGTGGTAAGTGCTATGGTTGCTGTAAGCACAGAATGTTAACAAAGCACAGAGGAGACACAAGCAACAATATTTGTAATATAGTAAATAGCTGACCTAAACCAAAATTTGAAATCAAACCTCCTGAGAATGAGATGACGATGATATTATTATATTAATTATAGCAGCTACTTTTTATTGAATGCCTTATCTTTAAGCCAGACATTACCATATTGTTGCATTTACATTTCAAAACAACCTTCATTTAACAAATAATAAAACTGGTTTTCAGAAAGTAGAAGTGATTTGTCCAAACCACAAAGCTATTAAATTATAGAACTGGGATTCAAGCCCATGTCTATGACTCCAAAATTGCATGGTCTTCTACACATTATACTCTGCCAGCTCCTTTGCCTATCAGTAGAAAAGATTATAAATTCCCTGTGTGATCCTGGGCAAGTCAGACACTTCAAAGTCTCACTTTCCACATTTCTGAAATACAAATATTACCTGCTTACATGTTCACTGTGCTAATGTAAAGTTGAAATGAAAAAACTCATGGTGAAAGTACACTGTAAACTACAGAGCAGTTGCCAATCACAAATTATTATTACAACTGCCACTATTATTAAGAAGAGAAAGTTTGGTCTTCCATAATACCTAGTGAGTTTTTACTCAAAACAGAGCTTTTAAGAGCTTTTAACAAGTTAACATCCACAGAAACACCAAAAACTCAGCTTAACTAGCAATGCTGTAGACTTAATTGATGGAAAAAAGTGAGAAAAATAAAGATATGTTAATGTCCTACAATAGGAAACTAATTTTTTTTTTATTCTTGCTTTTAGTCCATCAAATCATTAGAATTCTATATACCTCCATGAAGACCATGGATAAAAATTAAGAAGGGAGGAAAGGAGAAGGCGAAGGAAAGGAGGTAGGCATCTGACAAACATCAGTTAAAGAACACTGTTTCTTACTAGACCAAACTTTTGTTATTTTTAAAAATGAAAAAGTGATAGTATGACAAAAAGGGTACACAGAACTACAAAGAGGAAAAGCTCAAAGTTTTTTAGAACAATATAAAAAATTCTAAAAACTACATAATTACATAAAAATTGGAATCCCAATCAGTCTCACCTTAAAGAAATTAAAGCAAAAGATAGTTGGAAAAGTCTCCTATAAAATTGGTGGGATTGTTTTTCCCTTACTAAAGGGATCAAGCAGAAAAAGATATACAGGGCCGGCCCCGTGGCTTAGTGGTTAAGTGTGCATGCTCCGCTGCTGGCGGCCGGGTTCAGATCCCGGGCGCGCACCGACGCACCGCTTCTCCGGCCATGCTGAGGCCGTGTTCCACATACAGCAACTAGAAGGCTGTGCAACTATGACATACAACTATCTACTGGGGCTTTGGGGGGAAAAAAATAAATAAATAAAAATTTTAAAAAAAAGTCCTCACTATGCACAGTAGTGTAGAACCATAAAAATAACCATACAAGCTGAAACTGTGCAAAGTGATCTTATAATCAATGAGAAAAATTATAATTGCTCTGTGATCTTTAAATATTTTTGTCAAAACTTTAAAAACTCTCTTCCTGTCAGTTATAAATATATAGAAAACTGAAAAAAAACTAAAACTATTATTTATTTAGTACTTTGTAACTTAAAGTACTTAGAAACATTGAACATTAAAGTATTTTATTTCTTTGGAAACAGTTATTAAGAATAGTTTGAACAGTGCTTGCTTTCTTCTTCTTTAACTTACAATAGAGAGTAAACATTTTTTCAATGTCTCGGCAAACTGTCAAACTCCTTTCTAAGTCTGAATCACCTTCCAATATTTTATCCTTTGCACTCTCAATGCTGTGAAATCTCTCTGAGAGTTTCTTTAACGTGGAGTATTTCCTGGTGTCACTTCCTCTGGGACATTCATCCTTGTCATCACAACCTCTTGCCTTATTTATGCTGATAAGTTCACCTTCACTAAGCTCCTCTGGCTGCATATCTAGAGTCCACTGAGTAGTGGCAGTGTCAACATTCCAATGGTCAGCTGTTTTTTCTATAACTCCATTTATGTCCTATTCAAATACTGCAGTTATTTGTATGGTGCAGTAAAAGTTTTGCCACACTACATTAATACTACTCATTGTTGCTTCCTGTCAAGATACGTGAATGTTTTCAATTGCATACTTTAATGTCATATTTTTTCCAAAACTCAGCTAAAAAAATTGCATGACCTCCATTCTTCTTGTAATTATCATTTCTTTTTAATGTGGCAACTAACTTCAAAACTTCAGCTTGAATGCTAGCAAAACTGACTGCAATTTTGTTTTTTATTGCAGTCTTCACTCTAACGTAGAAGTAAACACTCCATTTCAACCATAAGCAGCTTTCTATTCCCAGCGAAATTTAAACTAAAAGATGCTGGACTGACTGTATCATGTTTTTATATTCATTAGACTTTTTAAATACCATAGTTTCATGCAGAGCTAGGTCTCATCCTACCTTCATTTTGTTGTCACCTTTTCAAATCTTCAAAGATCACATGCAATTTCACTTTCAGCATTACCACTTTTCATTTCTTTGCTGCATTTTT